TTTATATCAATACCATCTAAATTTGATGTTTTTTTTGTTGTTGAATTATATGTTAAACGCATATTATCAATAAAACAATCGATAACTTCAGGTAATAAAAGACGAATATTAAACCATAATTCAAACCAATCTGCATGACGAGCACACAAAAAATGTGGCGGAGGAGTTGTACGATTTAATCGTGTCCATATTTGTGATCCACCATTACCAGGAATAAATATAGCTGAATAATGAATATTATTACCATTGATATTATTATTAATACAAATGAAAGATAGAAGAAGAAGATACCAATGACATATATACATGAAAAAATCTAAAAAACAAAAAATTTTTTGATATAGCAGTGTAGTATTGTTTTTGATTTTTTATTATGTAATACAATGATTTTATTTTGAGAGTAAAGGGCATTTTCTTGTTAATATGAAATATTGGACTAACCAATCAGTAAGATGGAATTTCAAAGATCAGATGATTCCTAACGAATGAAGTGTTAACTATGATCCTCGGTTATAGTCGGATTATTTCTAAGTGAATGTGGCATTCTAAATTGCTTGTTTTATATTCATAGATCACTTTGAATATATCTATATTATCAATTTCATCATTGAGGATATTCTATTGATCAGCGGCATCTGACGAGACTTTGTCAGATTCCGTTTAGACTTATAGCATTTGATCACTTGATAGATGCAATTATCAACCCAATATGAGCTCGAATAGCGGGTATTAATTCGAGTAATTCCCTTATAAGTGGTTTTGAAACAAATTCTAACATATCCATCCAAGTTATCACAAATAGATATGAAACATCACGTTAATCCTTTTTTGGTTTTAATTTGAATGAAAGTTTAACATGCACTTATTCGATTATAATGTAAAAAAAACAAATTTTGCGTTCTTCTTGAAACAAATCAGACGTTTGAGTATCGAATGATGAAAACGTGCGTCATTTCTCTTATTATTTTTGTCATCAACAACGAAGCAAACAATCTTTTTTTAACTTTATCCGATGTCTCAACTGCTATGTACTATCAACGGATGCAAACGTGCATCGCGTGCATTATGTCATTGTTGTCAACAGAATCTTTGTATATCTCATTTAAATGAACATAATGATTTATTGAATTCTCAATTAAATCCTCTTGTCGATGAGATTAATATACTCGGAAATCGGTTGAAGACACTTAATATTCAAGAGAAAACAAGAAATTATCATCAAAAACTTGAACAATGGCGTATAGATTGTCATCA